GTGTGTGTGTGTGTGTGTGTGTGTGTGTGTGTGTGTGATGAGGAAGCTCAGCTTGGAGACAAACCAGAGGAGGAGCTGATCCCAAAAGTTGGTTCTAGGCCCATCTGGTGGTTTCTGCTCCCCTGCCTGCTGCCTCAGGACACCACAGGATTTATCAAACATGCATGAATGAGTCAAAGCAAGACTCTGGGCATGTTTTTGATGAAAGTATAACTTGATATAAAACTCAAAAAAGTTGAGTTTACATGATGTAGATCCTTTAAAATGAGTAAGAACAGAAACTCTTTAAAATTTCACCAAACAAAACCATGTCCATGTTACTTCAAGATAAAAACATTTATGAGCTGAAGGAAGGGCTCCAGTTAGATTTTCAGCTGTTTGTTCAGACATGACATTTAAAGCCAGAGTCTAACTGGCCTATCAGAGACAAGCTGGCAAACGGTTTTTATCAAAATGTCTCAAAATGTTTGCTGGGTGTCCATCCTTGTCCTGGAACAGTGGACCAGATTTTTACCCTTGGTAGGAGGGTCATGGGAGTTTGCCTCTCTGGTCTACATGTGTTTTTTTAAGACTTGGAAAAGGATTATGACCGTGTTCCTCAAGGAATTCTGTGGGGGGTGCTGTGGAGTATGGAGTGTCTGGGTTGCTACTAAGAGCGATCCAGTCCCTGTAAAACCAAAGCAGGACCTGTGTTCACATTCTTGGCACAAAGTCGAGCTTGTTCTCAGGGTTGGACTCCATGGCTGTCCTTGTCTCCGATCCTTTTTGTAGTGTTTATGGACAGGATCTCAAGGCACAGTCGTGGAGAGGAGGGTGTCTAGTTGAGGAACCACAGGGTCTTGTCTCTGCTGTATGCAGATGATGTGGTTCTGTTGCTGAGCTCCTTTAAGTCTGAGACCATGGTTCTCCACCAAGAACAGGTGGAATGCTCCCTCCAGGTCAGGGTGGAGTCTGTGGCTGAAGTGAAAGAGTTAAAATTTAGGAGTCTTGTTCTAGAGTGATGGAGCAGATGGACTGAAGGATTGCAGCTTCAGCCACAGTAATGAGGACGTTGCTTCGGTTAATTATGGCGAGCTAAGAGCTAAGTTGAAAGGCAAAGTTATGGATTTACTGGTCTGTCTACATTCCAACCGTCACCTGTGGTCATGATGTTTGGATCATGGCCAAAAGAACAAGATCTTGGATATAAACTGCTTCTTCCATGGGTGGCTGGGCTCAGCCATACCCCTAATTTACAATAGATGTGGCTACGCTCCAATCTGACCTCCGCAGCAAAAACTCACCCATTCTAATCAATGAGAGTATTTACACTGACGGTGATTCACCAAAGTTAGAGCCAATCATATCTTTGCTGGACGCCGGAGATGCTCCGGAGTCAAGCTACAGAGATCACATCGCACCAACAGGAAAAGGAACAAGCACAACATCCATATTTTCACAATAAGACACCAAATACAGACTAATTATGTCAAAATCTCAGCTATATTAATAAATATATGGATATATTTCTACACAAATGTTGTCAGAATGTATGGTTCTGTTTTGCAAGAAGATGCAACACGTAGCATGTAGCATATGTGTACACACACGATACACATGGATTTTATTTTGAAATCAGAAGTTTCAAAAAGACGACAGCGATACAGTTTCAACCATAGAAATCAAAAGCTTTTATATCAGTTTTCAGCTGTGTTTGGAGTTCATCTTTCCCAGAATTAATAATTTTTTGCTCCGACTTCCACATTTACCACTGGATTTATTGCGCGATCTCCTTCCTGTACACCCTCCCTCCTCTGTGTGTCGCACCAGAGCGGAGCTGAGTGAAGCAGAGGCTGTATAAGTTGGGGTAAAACGAACCGCTGCTAACTGCGCACCGCAGCACACCGCAGCACACCACAGCGCAGCGGAGCGGAGCCACGTGTAGTGTAAATTCGGGGTTAGTGATAAGGTGAGGAACTCCATCATTCAGAGGAAGCTCAAAAGATTCAGTTGAGGTCGTTCAGACATCTGATTAGGATGTCTCCTTTCGGAGGTTTTCTGGGTAAGTCCCACTGTTAAAAGACCCTGTGGCAGACCTAGAACTCATTGGAAGGATTATATATCCCCCTGGCTTGGAAACACCTTGGCATCCCCCCAGGACGATCAGGATAATGTTGCTAGACATGTCTGGGTTTCTTACCTGGACCTGTCAACCATGGACAAGCTGTATGAAATGAATGGAAGAATGTTTGCTGAGGGGGTTGTGATGCTTTCAGTTTTATTTGAATTTTGTACAGTTCAAACTATTTGTGAAACAAATTTTTCCTCACAAAACTTTTCCAGACATCTTGGAACTGTCTCAGTTTAGTTGTCAATTGGCAAGCGGCAGAAAACGGACGGATGGACAAATACAGCTCTAATGGTTCTCTGTATGCAAAAGGATGATCTTCTTTGAACACATCAGAAGCAGCAGGTGGGATTAGACTCTTAGAGAATAAAAGACCTTTATTTATTACAGCAAAGCTTTCATGTTTAATGATGATGAGGATATTAGTTTGTGTTCGGTTTTTGGCAATAAATAGTGATAGTTTCAGTGTTATTTTATTTCTTTGATGTCCATTAATTCAGTGTTTGTCTGGACTGAGGGGTGCATGATCACACTCACCCCCAATTTACACTACATGCATCTCCGCTCCGCTCCGACCTCCGCAGCAAATACACAACCATTCTAATCAATGAGAGTATTTGCATTGGCTCCACAAGGCTGCACAGGGCAGCGGTGAGCAGACAGCAATCCGGCAAAATTAGAACAGATCCTATTTTTGCTGGATGCTGGAGCTGCTCCGGAGTCAATTTACAAAGATCACATCGCACCAACAGGAAAAGGAACAAGCACAACATCCGTATTTTCAAAATAAAACATCTATTTCTCGGAATAATGTCAAAATCCCAGCTATTTTAATAAATATATGGATATATTTCTACACAGATGCTGTCAGAATGTATTGTTCTGTTTGGGAAGCAGATGGCAACATGTAGCATGAAGCATACAGTATGTGTACACACCAGAGCAGAGCTGAGATTGTACAAATTGGGTTGCAAATGAACAGCTGCGAACTGCGCACCGCAGCGCAGTGCAGCGGAGCCACATGTAGTGTAAATCCAAGGTAAGCTGCATTTGGCTAAGGCTTTTAAAACACCTGAAAATATGACAACTTTATCCACCTATCCATTTTCTTTACCTGATCTTTGTTCAGGGTTGCAGGAAAGCTGTTACCTCAGTGCAGTGGTCATTGTGTACATGGTTACAAACCAGAGGGAAAGAGTTCCCTCTGAAGGAGGTCGTTCAGCCTGAGGCACAGAGAGAAAGACCCTAAAGTCCTGCCAGATCTATTTAAAGATTCCTCTCCTCCAAAACGAAAAGAAACAAGTCTGCTTGCTGTGAACTCGACAGGCCAGTGAGTGTCTGCAGGCTCCACAGCAACCTTTAAACTAATCAGACCCCATCTGAGCAGATCAGTGTTGTGGTCACTCCACAAGAACTTTCTTTCTTGTTGCTGAAGAAAAGTTTATGAGCATAATGTAGATCTATGGTAAAAATGGTAAATGGACTGAACTTATAGCTCTTTATCAGCCCCATGGGGACGCCAAAGTGTCACCCAAGGCAAACACGTCCTAGGTGAGGGATCAAAAAAAGCCCATCAATCCCATGGTTGTGCTTCAGTACAATATGTGTAACTAAATAAACTCTAGACAGTTGTTATTTCTAAAAATAAATTAATACATCTCTCAGTTATTATAAATGCTATGGTAAAAACCAGCCCCTTGTTCTTTGCTTTGTTTTGTGTTGACAAACGGTTGCTTTCTGGAAGTGTGGCTGCTGTTGAAGTTTAAAATGATTGGATCTGATTTTAATCAGTCATTAAACGGTAATGTTTTTTCTCTATATGTTTGTATTCATGCAAAATGAGGTAGATCCTTGTAATTTACAGAAAATCTGTGCACATTGGTACATGTAATGTCTTCATTTTTTCCCTTTATTTCTTTGTATTGCATGACTAAAGCTGTTTTCCACATCTTATTTTAGGTCCTCTGTACATTATAACTGAGAATCCCACTCAGGTGGGGGACCCCTGTCCCACTTAGTGCAGTTTCTGAGGTGGTGCAGAGTATTCTTGGGGTCTTGAGGAGGACAGTGCTGTGTTCTCTGTGTGATGTCTGCCTTCAGTTCATCTCAGAATTTTGATAACTGGCATTTATGTATACTTAAGTCTGAGAGTAGGAGCAAATTTAAAAAATTCTCAGCACTTCAGTCTAAAACTAAATTCTAAGAAATGTGATAAATACAGGCCCAGATAGTTGATAGATATATAGATAGATAGATAGATAGATAGATAGATAGATAGATAGATAGATAGATAGATAGATAGATAGATAGATAGATAGATAGATAGATAGAAAACAGTTGTCTTTAGATGATTATCTGAGTATTTAGTGCATGGAAACATGTTGATATTTGTTTTGTAAGTGTGTTTGGAGCCTGTCTTGTAAAATATGGCACATCCATAGCTACTGGCCACAGGGTGACATACTGTGGCAGCTCTGAGATCTCTGGAATGCTCACTTTTATCCGGAATGGTGGAAAACGTTTGTCTCAACCTGTTGAACTATTTATGCAAAATGTAGCTCTGGGCTATGTTACAAAACTTAAATGCTTTTTAACATGTCCTCTGGAGACAACAAGAGAAAGCAAATCTAAAATTGTGTTAAATCAAAATGCAAACAATTGTTAGCACAGACTTGTTAAAGTAAAGTTTTTAAAATCTACTGTTTTTTATAAGTATGTTTGCTTCATGTGAGTTTGTTCTCCATGTTGTAGGTTCTGGAGAAGGGCATGCATCTAGAGTGCAAGTGTCACGGCGTCTCTGGATCCTGCACCACCAAGACGTGCTGGATGACGCTCCCCAAGTTTCGTCAGCTGGGCTACATGCTGAAAACCAAGTACAACCAGGCCATCCAGGTTGAGGCAATGCGCTCCAGCCGCAACAAACGTCCCACCTTCCTGAAGATTAAGAAGCTTCCCTCCTACCGCAAACCCAAAGACACGGACATGGTCTATATCGACAGGTCACCCAACTACTGTGAGGCCGACCAGCTGACAGGCAGCATGGGAACACAGGGGCGTCTGTGCAACAAAACAGCTCAGCAACCCAACAGCTGTGACCTGATGTGCTGCGGCCGAGGATACGACACGCACCAGTACTCACGTGTCTGGCAGTGCAACTGCAAGTTCCTGTGGTGCTGCTATGTCAGGTGCAACACCTGCAGCGAAAGGACAGTGGTGTACACCTGTAAATAGACTATTTTATGCTCTGCTAGACTGAACTGTGAGTTTGTGTGAGCATGTGTGTATGGGTGTGTAGTTAATACTGTGAGTTTCAGGAGTTTTCATTTCTTTTGGTATTCTGTCCATTTTGTTGCCTTGCATCCTGGAATTTATATGGATTTTTAATTTGATTAAAAGCAACATTTCTCAAAAAAAAAATACAAAAAGTTAGTGAAGTTGAGGAGGAAAAATTGTTCTAAATAACTTAAAAGTAGATCAAATTGAAAAGTGGTGCATGCATATGTGTTCACCAATGTTCAAACATTAACTTTAGATGACACCTACTTAGTTAATTAAGATCCACCTCCATTCCACCACATGCTAAAGGTGACTGATTGCACTGAGATCTTGTGTCTGTGGAGACCTTTGGAGGTCAGTGAAATGATAGCCTCCAGAATCAACATTGTCCAACAACTCTGAGTAGTGCAGGCCACCACCAAGCAAGAGGCCACTAAAGGCTGCACAGAGTTGAGCATTTTGGAAGAGTGTTGGGAAAAATACATTGATGAAAGAAGAAAATGCCAGACTGTTAAGATTGTTTCCCCCAAAATTGTGGTGGTCAGATGAGACCAAACAGCAATGAACAACTTCATGTCTGAGCTAAACCTACATTTCACCATGCTGAGATCACCATTCCTACAGTGAAGCATGGTGATGGCAGCTTCATACAGTAGGGATGTCTTTTATTATTAAGGACTGGGAAACTGATGGATAGAGCAAAATACGCTGACATTCCTCAGAGGAACTTGTTGGAGTCTTCCAGAGATTTAGAACTTGGACAGCTTTACAACTTGGTCCACCTTCCTGCAGGATATAGACCATAAACACACTGATGGTGGAACACTCCACTGGTTTAAGGATAACCAGTTGAAGGTCCTGGAATGGTCCAGTCAAACACTAAAACTACTCCAACAGGGAAATTCTGGTTTAATTTAAAGATTGTTGGACCAGAGCTGCTCCAACCTGAAAGGGCTGTAGCAGTTTAGTTATAAAGAATGGACTAAAATGTTAGATGGGCCAATGGTTGGATGATTCAATGGTTGGATGGTTGGATGGATCAATGGTTGGATGGTCCAGTGCGTCAATGGTCCAATGCTTTGATGGTTGGATAATCAAGATGGTCCAATGGGTGAATGGTTGGATAGACTAATGGTTGGATGGATGGATAGTCTAATGGTTGGATGGTCCAATGGTTGGATAGTTGGATAGTCTAATGTTTGGATGGTCCAATGGTTGGATAATTGGATAGACTAACCCCTAATTTACACTACTTGCATTCCGTCTCCGCTCCGCTGCGGTCCGACCTCCGCAGCAAATACACACCCATTATAATCAATGAGAGTGTTTACACTGGCTGCGCACGGCTGCACACGGCGGCGGTGAGCGGACGGCGATCTGTCAAAATTAGAACAGATCCTATTTTTGCCGGACGACAGAGCAGCGCCAGAGTCAATTTTTAAAGATTACGTTGCACCAACAGGAAAAGAAACGAGCACAACATCCGTATTTTCAAAATAAGACACTTTTAGGCTGGATAATTTGTCAGAATAATGTCGAAATTGCGGCTATATTAATAAATATACGGATATGTTTCTACACAAATGCTGTCAGAATGTATCATTCTGTTTGGGAAGCAGATAGAAACGTAGCATGAAGCTTTGTGTACACACGATACACGGGGATTTTATTTTGAAATCAGAAGTTTCAGAAAGCCGACAGCGAGACAGTTTCAACATAGATACCAAAAGCCTATTTTATACCGTTGTTTTCAGCTGTGTTTGGAGTTGGTCTTTCACAGGACTAATTATTTTTTGCTATGACTTCCACGCTTATCACTGAATTTATCGCGCGATCTGCTTCCTGCACGTCTGTCGGACTGGAGCAGAGATAATGTAAACTGGACTTGAAATGCACAACTGCGACCTACGCAGTGGAGACGGAACGCAAGTAATGTAAATTAGGGGTAATGGTTGATGGTCCAATGGTTGGATGGTTGGGTGGTCCAATGGTTGGATAGTTGGTTAGTCTAATGGTTGGATGGTCCAATAGTTGAATGGTAGGATAGTCTAATGGTTGGATGGTCAACTGGTTGGATAACTGGATAGTTTATCTTCTTCTGAATGGGTGTTCTGAACTGTAATTTCATTGTGCTCTGTACAATGACAATACAGATCTAATCTAATCTCTAATGGTTGGATGGTCCAGTGGTTGGATAGTTGTGTAAGAAATACGTGTTTTAATATGGTATGTCCGAATAAACAGGATTCAGCTGGATTTCTTGTTAAAAACTTTATTTCAGTCCTTTTCCAATCAGGTTCATTCAGCTCTCAGCAGCACAGGCCTCAGCGTACAACCTTGGGCCAAACCAAAACAAACACRGGAGCTCTGCTCTGAGCAGACACTCTGCAAAACACTGACAACTTCTTTTTACTATAATAATGAATTGAGCTTATAATGTTCATCTCTTCCTGGTTACACCCCAGGAGGTGTTACCTTTTACGTCAGACGTCAGAACGTCACTCAGTTTTGTTTAGGCTAAGAGAAAGAACACATGATAACACACCAACTCTTTGTCAGCTTCAACCTTACAGACTGAAATGATCAGAAAGTATAAAATACAAAACTGAATCTAATATTCAATTAATCAGTTACAAAATTTCTTCAGTTGGATAGTCTAATGGTTGGATAGTCCAATAGTTGAATGATCGGATAGTGCAATGGGTGAATGGTTGGATAGACTAATGGTAGGATAGTCTAATGGCTGGATGGTCCAATGGTTGGAGAGTTGAATAGTTTAATTGTTGGAGGGTTGGATGGTCTAATGGTTGGATAGACCAGGAACTGAATCAACAAACTTCAGTAATTTAAAGTATTTTTGTTAATATACTGTATTTTTACATTATAATCTAATTAAAATTCATTTAAATCCCAAGCTGTTAGGCAACAAAACAGAAATAAAATGAAAGAGGGTGAATTGTTTTGACACCCACTGTATAGTAAAATTCAAGAGCCATTTTAAACTGCAGACAGCTTTTCTGCTGGCCACAATTGTTTACAGCTCCTCCTCTCCTCAAACTGTATATATGTTGTTTCTATAAAGTAATAATTTATTGAGTGAGGAAAAACTACTGATCGTTAAAAAAACACTTTAAATTTGGTGTAGATGCATAAAAAGTGCACCTAAATGTATAAGCTCTTTTTAAAGCTCTTTTTTTTTCTTTCTGCAAGACAACTTAAACACTGGAGCTGCAAAGTAAAATGATTCAAACTGAACTAAAGTTATTGGAATAATGGGCCTGCAGCTTTGTTACATTAGGTGTACAGGAACTACTGATGGTGGGCTGATGTAATGTCACTGCTTTTTTTTTCATGACCTTCCAGTCAGCCAACACTGTTTCTAACCCTGACAGTTACTTTTCTAAGGTAATATCTAAATGAGCTGTGATTGTTGGAGACTAGTTGGCATCAACAGTTTTTAAAATGTTCTCTTAAAATAGTCAAAGTGTAATTTTGTGCATTTCTAACTCGTAACCAGACGCTGGAGCTGTACTCTGTCTTCTGTACAGGAGCTCTCTTACTGAAAACATGAAGATGTGCCAGGAAATAATTCATATTCGGCTTATGTTGGTGGCTAAACCTGGAACCGATACTGGTATCTGCCTGGTATCTCAATAATTACTCAGTATTGGTACTTGTACTTGGTTTGAGACAAACTAGAACTGGGACACCCCTACTCAGAATGCATGGCTTGTCGCTGGCTGCAAAGGGGTTTCAGTGAAAGTGAAACAGAAACTAGTCACTAAGAGTCACAGCTCTGTGGATATATTGTATGTTTGACGGCCCACAGACTAAATTTGACAGAAGCTATGACTGCAGTGTTGAGAGTGAAAAGTGAAATGTTGGTGAAAAACATGGTGCAGGATGAAAGACAAACACTGTTGATGTCAAATGTATTTATAGCATGTTTAAAAACACTACTGATACTTTCTATCATCCCATCCTCCTGCTGAGTGGTTTTTGGCACCATGTTGACTTTTAACACATCTGAACATGCAGAAAGTATCCAAACAGTTGTTCTTTTACCATCAGGCTGTGCAGTGTCTGTTAAAAGCTGTTTAAAGAAAACAAATTGATTTAATTATGTTTTGTCTCTTATTGAGAGGTTTTGGGTTGTAGCACAATAAAAGTAAAGCTGCATTTACACTCATTGGCCACTTTATTAGGTACACCTGTCCAACTGCTCGTTAACACTTAATTTTTAATCAGCCAATCACATGGCGGCAACTCAGTGCATTTAGGCATGTAGACATGGTCAAGACAATCTCCTGCAGTTCAAACCGAGCATCAGTATGGGGA